CTGGCACCACACCTTGCCTCGGGACATGGCCAGCAGCCCCGCTATGTCCCAGGGCTCTCAGGCAGCTGCTTGCCAGGCTACCTGCAGTGCCCCACCCCCATGGGGTGGGGGGTGGTGTGTATTGGGAGGTCTGTGCCAACATGCTGTGTGCATCCCCTGCAGGACACCTGACCTTTGGCCTGGGACAGCTCAGCACTATGGCAGACCCCCCTGGCTGCTGCCGCCCCTGTGCCACCTGCCTGCTCTGCCTCTACAGCTGCCAGTGGATCACCGCCAAGAAGGAGAAGAGGAAGGGCCTGAGAACCACCAAGGTGATACCATGGGTGATGCTGAGCTGGGGCTGGCCAGCCCCTGTGTGGGAGGCTTAGAGTGGTGGGGGAGGAAGGGCTCCAGCTGGGGGGCTCAGCCCAGACACTGGGCTGCTGACCCCTTGCCACTGGTCCTGCTCCCCATGGCTGAGCCCCAAGAGAGCTGGGGTGCTATCTGGCACCTTCTTTGTCCAGGGACTGCCCTAGCCTGGAGCAGTGAGAATGTGAGCCGTCTGTTTCTGCTGGGTGACAAGGGTAGAGCAGCATGCTGGCAGCAGCGAGGCTGAGCTGTGGCCGTCCCCTGCCCAGCCAAGCATGCATCTGCGTCAGGGCTCGCGTGTGCCTGGAGCAGAGCGCTGTGCTCCTGAGGGCTGAGCGTGGCAGGCAGGTCCTGGGGGGCTGGGTGCCTGGCAAGGCACGTGGGAGGCACGGTTGGGTGTGGCCCCTGCCGATGGGGTGCTGGAAGGGGGTGTCCCCAGCAATTTGTAATCTGGGAGGGGTGAGGCCCTGGGATTCTCTGAGGTCTCCAACTCCCATGGGAGCGGCTGTGCCGCTGCTTGTCCTGTCTTGCCTGGAATGTGCGAGCTGGTCCAGGCTGCTGGGTGTCCCATTCAGCACCTGTGGCATCCCTCACCTCCCCGTGTATACGGGGCTAGGGGCTGCAGACCCTGAAGCTGGATCTGGCTTTGGCTGGGCAGGCAGGAGCAGTCTGCAGGCTCACCGCTGCAATGGCAGGTCCGAGGCACCGGAACCCCCGCCCCCCCGCC